CGTCACTACGGATCACACAGTGAAGTGGTCCGTAGTTAGCTCAGCACCGAGCAGTTCGGAGATTTCAACACTTCTCTCGCTGCTTCAAATGCGAATCTTGACGGTCGAGCTAAGAAAATTGCCCGGGCACGTCCGCCGTACCGTTAGAACTCCGCGTTCTGATTACGTCCTACATACCTTTAGACTCCGCGCTCCGGATCGGTTCGACGTATCCTTCGACTCGGCGATTATGGAGGAGCTCCCGTGGTTAACGATTGCGGATATTTTAATTAAGCTCGAACGACCGAGCGATGTCCGAGGTAGTGATCCGAACCCGTACGAGAAGCACGGGACCGAATCTGGCTTACTCTGAATTAAATAAAAAAGAAAAGCTTCATTCCCTCGTACTTCACGTTATTCCTACGCGGGAGAGCACACAAATCCCAGAAAAACCGAATTCCGCACACGAAATCCACACACTCCGATCAACGCCCACAACGCTTCCGACACGCACTGGGCGCTGCCATCTTATCGTTGACGCCAGAGATTTGGTCTGGTTACGTCATAGATTTGGCCTGGTCACGTGTCTAGTGGTCAAAATTGTACAACATGGCGGCGGCCAATCGAGGGTCACTTTTGCCTGATGAACGGTATACTAGTTTATCACTCTAAGGCCCTCTACCTCGTTGGCCAGTATTAAAAAAAAAAACAAAAAAACAGCGGCTTCGGGACAGGGTTGGGCAGAAATACTCAAAAATGTATTTGGAAATACAAATACTGGGATACATTAAAATAGTAGCTAAAATACTGATACTAAGATACATCTGTAAAAATGTATCGCGATACGTATCGGAAATACATCTTAAAAAGAGGCAAAAAGTATTTGGAAATACAAATACAGGAATACATTTTAGGGAGAGCAGAAATACAAATACAGGAATACTGATAGCGGAATACATTTTCCAAATTTTTTTAGACGCCAACTGAGATGAGGCTTGAAGTTTGAAGTGGATGTTTTCGATCCCGAAATTACTTTCCTGTAGGCTTGGCACTTTGCCTTGAAGATAATTGTTTCGGACGACAAGGAATCTTCCATGGGCTCAAAAAAAGCGTCCCATCAAGGGCTGACCGCGGTCCCTTCCATGATATCCTGTCTGTCTGACGAGGGAACCCTGTCAACATTGATCACATGATGTCACGGTGGAATGAAATAATATTCTTTATCTGTAGGTGTGGCCTTGAACATACAACTTTACCACGCTGCTGTATGAAAAGACAATACGTACTTTCGTTGTAGGTTACCTAGCTAAAGATCGTGCATACAGTGTCATTTGGAATTTTCGAGAATAGTGGACCACCTGAAGCATCTTCGAATACATGTCTTATCTTCTGTTACGATTGAAAAAACGATACGGTAGCATCCCTGTTCTGAAGGTCCTTACTACCGACCCTCCGCCACTGACGCGCGGATTGCAGTCCCCAAGTTTTGCCTAGCATTATCCAAACAGAAACCTCGTGGATTGCGAGCTGATATTGCCGGCACAGGTGCGAGCCCTCCGAGCAACAGTGGCCTCGAGACGAGTCGCGGGAGTACGTAGTCTGGGATGGCACAGCGAGGCCACTTCTGGCCTCCTGGGTTTCGGGTCACCAGAGCAGCGGGTCACGTTCACGTTCGCTGATGACGTACCCTTGAGCCGTGCAATGTTACGGGCGCAGCCGCAGATGAATTCGAATATGTGTTGAACTTCACAGCGTGAGTGAGCCTTCCTACTATTTCAAGTCAACCACCGCCAGGCTCGTGCTGCAACGGAATGTGACTCAGCTGTGCCGGCTTGGTGTATTCTGTACGCTAAGGCGAGAGAGACGGTTAGCAGCGGGCATTCGATGCCAGCAAACAATGACTCAAGAAATCCCTATCTAAGGATTTGCGGCAGAAGATGCTCTGACTCCACTCCTGGCACGCCACCTGGTTCGAGTCCCCGCCTACGCAACACTTCTCAGAAGAGAGAAGAGGACGCATAGAAAAATAGTTTGCAGAATCAAAAGGAACCTTGGTCAGCATAGTAACAATGCCCCAGCACCTCCTTGACTCTGATGCCCTCAGAAGTAAAAAAAAAATGCGTTCGGACTTGCTTTTTTTTTTTTTTTTCGGGGGGGGGGGGGGGGGGGGAGTATTTCTCAAGAAATGTAACGAAATACATTTCATCCGGATTGTATCGCGATACAATGAAACATTCCAAATGTATTTCGATACAGGAATACAGATACTAGTGAAAAAAATGTATCGCGATACAGAAATACAGATACGAAATGTATTTCTGAAATACTATCGCGATACATTTGTATCGCGATACTGCCCAACCCTGCTTCGGGAGTCCCGAGAGCCGAGCGAGGCGGGGAGGAAAGAGAGAGGGGTACCGGAGAACCGGAGCAGAAACGCCCAAACCGAAACCGAAACTAACTTGACCGGAAACGAAATCAGATTATGCCTAATACCGCCCGCTAGGAGCGCTACCTGTCACTGATCTATCTGGGCCGCTGGGGCCTATGGCAGTGTCCGCTCTTTACCTTGTGTATATTACTCTATGCCCGCGCGCCGTGATTGGGAAGCCAGTTGTCATCTGGTATTTTTCGTAATTCGCGGGCGTTTTTTGAAGGCTAGGAAAAAAGAGCTTGCAAAGTGCACCTCGTTGAAGACAGTTTAATTGGGTGTTTCTTAATCCGCTCTACAACTTTCCAATTCACACCTCGTCCTTTAAACTAAGATTTCAAAAGTTAGCTTGTTAGTCTTAATTAAATAACTAGGCGCACTGAAACAATTTCGTGCAGTTTCGCAAGAGACTTGCTAACAGCGTACAGTTGGTTTCACTCCCGCAGAACGCCCCGGTTTTTTTTTAAAGTTTGGTGCAAGTTATCTGGGACACCCCGCATATATGTACTAATAGTGTACATTTAGTGCACTAAAAGCATACATGTGGTGTACTAAATGTACACTTATATTAGGCTAGATGTACACTCGAGGTGCACTTATGGTATACTACATATGTACTTGAGGTGTACTAAAGGTATACTATTTTGTTTCATAAAAGTGAAACTGGTACGATTTCAATACATACCCTAAGTTCACTATTAGTATACATTCAGTATACTGATTTTAAACGACTTTTCACTAAGGGTGAGCTAATCTCACAACGTTGCCATAATGTCCCGACACTCTAAGTCCCGCTAGCTCAGAAATGTTCCTGCTAAATTTAGCGGGCCTCGACGTACACGAAATGCACATGGGATCCGCCGCGAAACCTCGCCAACAACGTCTATCGCCGTAAAAATCTCTTGTGACGTAGCGCTTAATCACTTTCTTCATAAACTGGTAAAACATTAAAGAAAACAAGAGACATTGCGTGCCACTTCGGCGGTATCCGCTTCACCTCTGCATTTCGCTATACTGTATAAGTATTTCTCCCTATCACTACGCGTACATGCCATGTCGACATACAATCAGATTTTTAGGAAATCATATTTGCGCCTCTAGTTTCCCACTAGTTTTTTTCCGGTTGAGGTAAGGTGGCTAGTCATGCCGAGGAGGTTCTAAAGGCCGGTTCTCACATGCAGCAAAGCGCTCATGTAGCGCTGCTCGCGTGTCGTTAGCTACTGATCGTTTGCCATGAGCAACAGTTTTGACGGTGCGATACAAAGCTTGTGAACGCTCCCGTCAGCACGCGCTTAGCGCGAGGTCAGCGCTATGCTTGTAGAGCTCCGCTGCATGTGTAAACAGGACTTAAAGGTTTTAGTTCCGATCGTGTCATCGAGGATTGTGTTGTTGCATGCATGCTTAGACAGCGGGGAGGTAGTCAGCGCCAATGGGCGTCTGGTGTCTCCGGTGTAGATGAAAACTTTAGCCAGTGCAGTACCAATGCTATAGGCTCCTTGCACTGACGTCACATCGCATACTTTTGAACACCATGTAAGAGAAGGAGAGAGAAGCTGCTTTTGTAAAAAATTTGAGTGACAGGTTAATCTTCTATAATCTTCTGGGAGGAGAATAGCGACGCCTGTGCAAATCCGGGAGGCACAAAAGAGGGTCCTGATAAGAGGGGAGCTCCTTCTTCCCCTTGTCTCTGGAGGGCATAGGAAGTGACGTCACGTGCAAGCCACGTATAGGCTTCTGGCACTGACGTCACATCGCACACTTTTGAACACCAAGTAAGAGGAGGAGAGGGAAGCTGCTTTTGTAAGAATTTTGAGTGACGGGTTAATCTTCTATAATCTTCTGGGGGGAGAATAGCGACTCCTGTACAAATCCGGGAGGCACAAAGGAGGATCCTGATAAGAGGGGAGCTCCTTCTTCCCCTCTTCTTTGGAGGGCAACGGAAATGACGTCCTGTGCAAGGAGCCTATAGCCTGAGGTCTTTATATAGCATGCATCACACAGTAGTTATTACACTACGGCATGCCAGTGCGATGCCCGACCGGATCTAAACGGGCAGAAGTGGGGAATGAACGTATACTCTATCAGAAATCGAAAATGTCATAGCCAAATGTTGCAACAAAATACTAAATTTTTAATTTACTTCGCCATCCCCTTTCCTCCCAAGTGGAGAGTAGAGAGGAAGAAAGCCATGCCCTTCCAACACCGCCAAGACGAAACATGACCCTAGCATCCCTTCATTGACGTCTCGTGCTCTGCAGAGAAGCACCCAAAACAAAAAACGCCACCCTTGTTGTTGTTTTTTATTGCTGTTTTTGCAGGTTTGTCATTGTCTATAATTATGTTAGTCAAATCGCTTCTTCTTAGTGTCGGTTAGTCGCTCTCTTTTTTGGCATTCCTTACCGGACCTAGCTCATCCGAAATTAACTAATATAATTCTAGGAAATTAAATCAAATCGCTATTTATGCTCTTCCGATGGTGGGCTTTCTAGTGAGGTTCCATCTCGATTTTCAACGACGCCGGTATTATTTATATACTGAACATAGAATGTAGTGCGCGAGTCGGTTTGACAAAGGGCAAGAGAGTAATTACCCGGTACTGAATCCAGTAGTTAGCCGCGTAGCTGTCGACGTCTTGCGTAGTGTCCCAACTCACAATGGCTGATGTCTCTCTCACGTCTGTGATGCTGGGCCGTGTTTTCAGCAGGGTATAGTCTTCAAACAAGGATTGGGAGAAAAAATATTAGTCAAATGGTATGGTGCTTTGTTTGCCTTTTCGTTACAGTTACCTTGCATGTGGATGTCGTGCCGCTGGATACTACACTCTCAACAAAAGGGTAGTCGTAGGGCACTACATTTGGGGTAGTCAGAGGCCGTCACAGATATCGTGATAACTGCGTCATGCGTGACAATCCTAGTGAAAAATCTTATCTGTACGAGAAATTTCTTGGTTCAATAAACGCATAGGATCAAATAAAATCATTTAAGAACATATAAAAACCATACGAGTATATAAGGATTTATAAGAAACTGATAAAAAGTTTCTTATAACTTTTTACATAACCTTATATCGTTCTTATAAGGCTCTTATAAGGCTCTTATATGCTCGTATATGATCTTATCTGTTCATTGGAGAGAAAATTTGCTGATACATATAAGATTTTTCCGGCTTACTAAATTGCCTGATCTTCAACATCTTAAATTTTCTAGGCTCACTAATGGCTGCGATTTCCGACAGTGCGAGGTGTCAGTGGCACGGCTGAGGTGTCAAATACCTATATGTGCCAAATACCTATATCCCCTGAACCTATATGCTAACAAAATACGTCATTGTAACTCTTCCTTAACTTTCTTTTTGGGCAATAGACCCTTTGCAAAAGTCAGAGTCACCTTATGGCAGTCCCAAAAGCTCCAATATTGTCACTCCAGCGGCGATGATAGAAGATCATGCTCGGCTAAATCATCGATTTCGTGAATCGAAGGGGACGTAAATGGACCAACATTTTTTTCCACTTTCTGCTCTATGCTTTCGAAGACGTTCGCTTTTTTCTGGTGTGGAGAAGCTGTGTAGCGCCGCCATTAGAGCGTCGGATTTGGCTCTGCACAGGTTGGATAGACTGACTTTCGGAAAGAGTGTCTTACACTGAGCTGTGCTGAAAGTTGACTACGTAACGCTGTGCATAATTTCTTACCGCATTAATACAATTACTTTGTTAAGCCTTTTCGAACTCACAGATTACCTACAACTTGGCTATTCAGAATTAACAAAAAATAACACGTGATCTAACCACTAGGATTCTTGACCAATCCCCTATTTGGCTAAGTGCCAAAAAAAGCTCTCGCCAACAACAAAATCAGTGACTGTAGTCGCTGACATGTTACAACGCCATGTATTACCCCTTATTTGAGGCATTTGAGGTTCAATCAATTAATAAATAAATTGGATGCTCTACCGCGGGCGTGAGCTTTCTGCCGTTGATAACCCATCGTTGCACGTGCAGACAAAACCCGGCGGAACGCAAAACAAATTCCTCGTTCATGTTTATACAGCCTAAAGTCGGCTTGCCTTTGAGGTGCGGTGACTGGTTTACGCTGTATATGAGAAATTTAGCCAGTGCAGTACCACTTCTGGCCTGGGGTCTTTAAAGTGCACCACGCAGTAGTGATACACGACCGCGCGCCGGTACGATGCTCATTCAAAACGAAACGGGCAGGGGTGGGTAATAAACCCGGCAGGTTCTGCAGTGCGAGTGCGGAGCGCAAGCACACGGGGCAACTCCCCCCCTCCCCCTTCCCCACGCCCCGGGCGAAGGCGCCAAGAGCTGTAGGCGGAGTTGCTATTCTTATCCTGTCTCATGATTGTTACTTTGGTATTTTCTTGTCATCTGTTCACTGGCTGCGTATCTCGCCATTTTGTGGAAATAATTCCGTATAAAACACTCATTCCCCCAAGCAATAACTGACTGAATGTTTTCTGCTTTGTCAAGTTGTGCTGATACGCATAACTTGCTTTTCTAGTTTATATCTATAATGATACGGCCTAATAGTTTGCCGATGTCATAAACAATCTGTTTCCTAGCCCAATTGTTGTGCCCAGTTTTACTTTTAGATTGTAAGAGCAATTAAAACGTAAACTGTAACTTAAAGAAATACTTGTGTTAGTTTTGAATACATATTTAGCGATGCATAAATCTCTATATATATTTAGGATGCTGACAGGTGGACGAGCGGGTCTCTGCAGTGCCAGAAATTAATTAAATCATCGCCACCGGCGCCCGTTGGAAATTTTTTTCGAACAAGTGCCTAAGCCAGGCAAAAAATTGCCTGGCTTAGGCATTCCGTCGAATGCAGTAAAGGTACGATAACACTAAAGCGCAGTTCCAACCCCGCTACTCAGGTCCCGTTCCTACGCTGCGGAGGGGGAGAGAAGGGAGTTTTAGCAAACCGCGTATCCCTCCACAACAGCATTCATCGCGCGCTCTGTTACGTCAAGCCAATAGCTGTGCTCCGTTGTTCACACTCTCTTCTATGGCCTTGCTACAATGCGAGCAACTCCAGCATTTGCCCTGTCGGTTGTTGGCTATATGCCCAATGACACATCGACCCGGAAACAGCCTGTTAGTATTAACTGAAGTTTGTGAAATTAAAAGAAAACACTTAGTAAACACTATGCAACAAGTGTGCGTCAAAAAAATTAGCTGGTGCGTAGCACGGACAGCTTAGGAAACGCAAGACGTGGCGAGTACCGAAGCTTATATTAGCCCTTCGCAGGTAATGAGAATGCGGCATTAGCTTATGAGAGCTCCAAAGAAGGAATCGGGAAGCCGGAAGTGTCAAGATAATATGTCCTACGTTCCTTAAACTGGCAGTGCTTATATAGTGATCGCACCAAAAGACGCAGCACCTTGCGGCCTAGGCAAGAAGTCATCTAAACGCAGGTGAAAAAAAAAAATGAAAGAAAACATTCGCTGTGGGTTTCAGTAAATTATAAAACCTGAGAGGCTTAAAAATTGGGTAACTCACCTTCTAGACGAGGTGAAGAAAAGGAAAAGTAAAATCCGGACGCTGTGCTGGAAAATGAAACTAACATTAGAAATGTTTTCTATGGGAACGCAGACAGCCGTTTCACCACACCATACACTTTCATCCAACGGGAAGAAAACAGGAACTGCACTGAACGGGATGCAATCAAAGCGGACAAATGAACCAAAACTACTTCGGCCTTAATTTTCGAACAACCAAGAAAATGTGTGCAATTAGTAGTTCCAGTCGTATACGCCGAGAAGATGAGGGAGAGAGGGAGAGCAGAGCGCGGGGACGGGGAGTCAGAACGTCGAGCTCTGATTGGAAGGATTAGTGGGTAGACCTAGAGTTCCTGTATAGGCTCCCTGCGGGAGCCAGAGTTGCGCGTCCGTTTTCCACGTGCCGCCGCGCCTCTATTCGCCGAGATCCGATCACGTGATAAGCCGGATCAAGTGCCGTGCAGGAAAGTAGACGTTGCGCGCGCCCCGCCGAACGTTCCCCTGCTTTTGAGAGCGCCGCGCGCCTCGAACGCGCGGCGCTGCTATTTGCCGAATTCAGTCACGTGACGAGCTGGATCAACATGCCATGCAGGAAAGACGGCGCTATGGGGATGAACGCGCAACTCTGGCTCCCGTAGGGAGCCTATACAGGAACTCTGGGTAGACCTAAAGCTATACTCCGTGTCACTAGTTGTGTGCAGCGCAGGTGAAGGCAACGCCAGGCAAAGAGGAGGCAGAGGGGAGAAAGGGATAGCACTTGGAACATTAGAGAAGAGAGGAGGTTTCTCTCCTCCCCTCCCTAGCCTTCGTAGTGCTTGCTCTTTCTCCCTTCGCCTGGCGTTGCCTTCGCCTGCACTGCACACAACTAGTGACACGGAGTATAGCTTTGGGTCTACCCACTCATCCTTCCAATCAGAGCTCGGCGTTCTGACGTCCCCGCGCGCTCTGGCCTCCCCCTCTCTCTCAGCTTCTCGGCGTATAGAAGCTATGCGTCATTCATAGCGTCAGATGCTCAAAGACACACCGGATACTTTGGTGTCCTACCCCGCTAAGCAGCGAGAGGTGAGGCGGGGAGCGTGGGGGGACACACGGGGGAGAAGGTGCTTCTTGATATCCCCGTTTTATTGTAATAATTCCATCTACGTGCGCTAAGCATCCTAAAAAAAAAAACAGAATTGCATTCTTGCGTATTAAAAAGGTGATCAAAGATCCCAACACTTACCGTTGGCGCAGAACGAGTGATGGCGCTACAGAACCTCGCTGAATATGGTCGAACGACGGACGGCACTTGTCAGTCATTGGCGAGCGACGGGTTCCCGTGTGGACGAGCGGCCGACCAGTCCCGCTCATCCACGCGGGAGCCTGACTGACCAGCGCCGTCCGTCGTTCGACCATATTCAGCGAGGTTCGGTAGCGCCATCTCTCGTTCTGCGCCAACGGTAGGAGTGGGGAACTTCGATCACTTTTCTAATATGCGAATCGGCCGCGCATGAATGCGATTTCCGGGTTTTTAGGATGCTTAGAGCTCATAGAATAAGTTATGAGCATAAAACGAGGATCCTAAAAAGCACTTTAGTGCCCCTTCAACTTACCGCTCACCCCCTCCCCCCCCCCCCCCCCTCCCCCCTTCACTATGCACAGCCGAACGCCTTTGATCGGCCGTGCTGTGACATAAAAAAATAGAGCTGTGCTCCGTTGCTAAAACTCTCTCACGACCCGGTGTGACCAACGCCAACAGCAGCCAGCAAGGTTATTCCAGACTTCACATATAAAGCTTACTCCTTGAATAAAGACGTGAGAAATGGCGTCGCGAAATATTCCCTGCAGGAGTAGACACATCCGTGAGAACCAGAGTCGCCACTGACCTTCTGGTTTGTTCGCGGAACCAGTAGTAAATTTTTACCCAATTAACAGCCTACCAATTAATTTCTGTTGACATCTACAAATATTTGCCGAAGGCTCAGATTGAGAGCGTGTCCCTAAAAAACGTTGTGCACTCGGAACCAACGCCGCCTATCCGCTAGTTAGCTACGCAGCCGCCGCCCTGATGGCCAGCCTTCGAAACGCCGCTTGAGTGATTGATTTCGCTGTGTATACGGTCGTAAAAGAGGAAGGCGGTGCTAATGAGGATATAAACCAATTATTAGCACTGACGAGACGAATAGTTAGCGTCGCCAGTAAGCTAAATAGAGGTCACGTGACCTCTGTTTCTTTTCTAATTGTGTGAGTCGACATTTCTTGCGCACGATCGGCTCGAGCCTTCCCCAGTAGCAT